GGGTAGGACTCCCTACAGTTCCCTATCTTTCCCGCCTACCCTCTACAATCAATTTAGAAGGTCTTTTGGGTTAATATTCGTTGAATATCAAGTTTAGAATTAGGAGTTTATACAAATTACGATTTTGGTGGTAGATAACAATTAATGTTGGATCAATAGTGAAACAGGTAAGGACAATAGTACTTGGGTTTTATTTTCTCCAAGTCCCATCCTTGTCGCAGTGAATTCTTCAGTCTTGCTTCGGGTTCTTGAGATTATTCCGAGTTTGATAATTGATGCTCTCGTCCACGAATCCACCCCTCTCTCCACGACCCGCACACTGAGCAACCGAGCAGTCCCGTACCCTCGTACCTCCACGGCTCTAGGTTTAGTTTATATGTTAGAAAATTCTGGGGATGATCAGTGAAAAGTCGAGTTTTGAATAAGGTTAGAGTTACGGTTGCGGTTCGTCGATTCCGCGTAGCTAAAAATCGGCTGGCGCCCTAAACACATTTTTAAGGATTGGAAAGAGCTGCTGATTACCCCCGGAGTTTCGTTTAGATTTTTCGGTTTTGTCGTTCCAGAGTCGTCGGAGTTGCGAGAACGAAGGTAATGGTTTTGGCCGTGTTTTCGGTTGTCGATTTAATGGGCTAGGGTTTTTGAGTATTTGCTGAGGCCATAGAGGAAAAACCATTACAGAGAATAGAGATGTTCCCTCAATTTTTTAATATCCCGGTACTTTTGAGTACAGTTTTCAACTGTACAATTTATTTCTTGAAAGTGGTCAATATTTGTTAAATCAGAAGGTGGTATATGCTTAGCAAAAGTGATTTTGTGGGTTCACTACATGACTTTGTGAAGATGATAAAGTTGAATATGTCTTTTTACAGTGGTTATATCAAAAGATGAGTTGCTCGGTTAAATTCGAATGTTCCCGTAAATGTTTTATATAAACAGTAAATTCCGAATTATTATAAACACAAAATAAACAAAAAAACATTTTGATTGTCTATCCTCAACTTTCTTAATAAAATACAAAGCAAGAAAAATCATCAAAGATCGGGAGACTTACGTTTTAATACCCAAAAATGGAATAAAATTCCTTTTTTTTCTTTTTCTATGGTAATTTAGATTTGTGCGATTCTCTGTCTGTTTAACATCTCAAATCCTGCAACAAAATTGAGTGGATTATTAAAATAAATAATTGTCCTCTATTCTCAAATGAAATAATTAGATATTTTACGTTTGAATAATAATCTGTCAGGTTACACATTTTTTTGTTCAACTATTGATTTCAACAATTTTTGTTGGGTATGAAAAAATCATTCTTTTATCTTTATCAGTCATCAATTTCATATAGAATGAAAAAAGAGCTGAAGGGGATTCAATTTTTCATGATACTGATTATTGTTTCCCGTCAATATATAGCTGGCTGTGAAAAAAGTCACGGTAACATCATGTATAAGAATATTTCAATTTATTTTTAGTTGAAAATTAAATTCATGGCCTTGATGTATATTTTTTCTCGTTTACGTCGATTTATTCCAAGATCCATTAACATTTATTAAACATTACCGGAAAACGAATTATATAGGGATCGTTATTCAATAACTTACCAGTCAAATTGTTTTTTTTTGCGATGAGTGACTGCCCGTATTGATAAATTAGTTTTGTAAGTAATTTTATGCCATCGGTGCCCGTAATCACGCGATTCTAACCTTGCTTCGCTCGGTTAAATCGCGGATTCCGGGCGCAATGACGTAAAATTTTGTATGAAACGCGTGCGTAATATATTTTTCGACTCGTGGGATTGTAAAACTCGCCTTCGGCTCGTGTTACAAACCTCCCACGAGTCAAAAAATATACTACGCACGTGTTGCATAATATACTATTTTAATTGTTCAATCACCATAAACAATAGAAACACATACGATTGACCATTTGTTCAATATCTTGTTTGGCCTGTGCACAAAAAAAATAAAAACTCTTAATTTTCTGAAGTATAGACTCAATCCGTATACGTAACACAACATCACACTGCGCTGTCACGAACGAGACGGAACATTTCCGAAGTTTTAGCTAGTCAAATTCCCGGAAAACCGCCAAAACAAAACACAGTCAAAACACACATTACAGAGTAATTGTTTGCGTCAATCAATACGAATTTGTGGTAAAATTGCAAGACATTATGTAACTTTACGATGGAAGGTTTAAAAATAGTAAAATAATCATGAACCTGAAGTTAGCTGCACTTTTTATATACCAGCCTTTAGCAGAGAATATCTCTGTGAAAAGTGAAGATATAAAAAAAAAATCGGTCTATTCAGAAAACCTTTCTCTAGGTGGGAATTGCCTCACTTTTTTTCAATAAATAATTTTTCTTTTTTTATAACAATAAATCGAATTAAGAAAATGTTCAGCATGGAATATCTCCGACGCCGCCCATCACAATATCATGGAACCAAATTCTCTGACTTCGGTTTTCCAAAATCTAAATGGGAATTCCTTTTTTTTATTTCTCCTCTTCGTAATTCGGAATTAAACAAAAAAAAACCAAAAAAACTTCAACACTCCATTTCTCACGTCTGGAACAACCCCTACAGTTGAGTCAATCACCAAAATTTTTATTTTTCATTGGCCTAAATGGGAATTGGTTTTTTTTCTCAAATTTTTGAACGAAATTTCTTGAAATTATTTTTATTAAATGTATAAAACTCTTTAATCTCATAAGAATTCGGCAAAATTTGATATGAAAAAAGTAGTTTATAAATTTTTTTTCGTTTTCACCAGTATATTTAACATTAACATTTTATTAACATTGTTTCATGATTCGAAGGCACCAATCACAATTAATGATGAATTCATCTTGTCGAATTTCATTCATACTTTTTTTTAAATACCCCAAGCAGTTGAAATCCGCCCATCTCTGACATATTGCACACTGCACCCAATCACATCTTGATCGGTGTTCATGTTTTGAACAATATAAACAATACGACTGTATATTACATGAAAATAATGGAATTAGTAATTTCAATTCTTCTCTCTTCATGTCGGCGTCCAGTAGACCAATACACTTGATTCTTCCTGCTACTATTTCTTCAATAAAATGCAGGGTAAATATTCCACAATTGTAGTTATCCTGCTGAAGTGGATAATTGCATTGTTTAATCGACCATTGCACTTTTGTCCGAGGGAAAATCTGATGATTAAAAAAAGTTGATTTATTTAATTTTTTTTGAGACACCGAGAAAAATTCAATCAAAATTAAAGAAAAATAATATCTTATCATAACATTTTATAAATTCTCTTGAAACTTTGGCCGCATTAGTAGCTGTTTGATGGGTAATTGAATCCAGAAAATAAATTTCACCCTCAGTGACATTAACATACAGTAAAGTCCAATGTACTCCGCGAATATTTATGGGTAGATAGATTTCGGTTTTATCTTTCCACTCTTTTGCTAAATTTCTATAAAAATGTTCTCCTTCAATTTTATTTTCTATAATAATTGTACTCCTTTCGCAATCTGAATAAGCAATTTGTTGTCTTTCCGATGAATTTCTTATTACAACTATTGCCCAATAATCGATTACAAAGTTATTTAACAACTGCTTATCGAACAGTGTTGAGTAATCGTTAGTCAAAATATGAGCTGCAATATTTTCTCCTGAAAGATCTTCTACAATAGCCACAGGACTTGATCGTGGCGCTTCAGGATAATAATAAAAATTTGGATCGGAAATTGTACGGTTCTTATTGAACACCAACTTAATTTTTCCATTTCTGTGCCGCTTCTTCTCACTTCGCTCTGATGACTGCCGCTCATTTTCCTATTTATCGTCAACAGTTCTTTCCAATTCTGCACAATCATTATTCGTCTCTCCCTGATTTTCATCCTCGTCTTCGTCAGTCGATGAGATATGGAATTCTCTGTCTTCTTTTTCATTTTTTTCATATATTTCTTCTTCTACATCTGTTTCTTCTCTCTCTTCTTCTTCCTCTTCCCTTTCTTTCTTCCTTCTTTTTTTATCCTTGTTTTCCCGTTTTTCTTCCACTTGTCTGGCCAGGCTTCTTAATTTGCGTCGACAATCATAAGTGTGTGTCCTTTTGTTTGTAGGTGGTCCACGATGCCAAGTCTCAATCGATTCTAAATTGTCTGCTGCATTCATACTTTATCAATTTTCTTTCGACGCCTCAAATTCACTCTAGGTTTTCGTATGCGTTCTTCTGTGAAGACTGCCTGAACGTAAAATGATAGTTTGTCAATAAATCTTCCAACTTTCATGTTTTTCTGGCCCTCTTGTTTCATCAATTTGAAGTGGTTTTCAGCGTATGTATTTACCATATGTTTCTTCCCAGAGGTCATTAAAATAGTAAAAAAAAGGAGTGTACGGTAGAAGATCTGTCAATAAGTATTTGGCGAAAATGACAGATCGATAAGGATTACCTGTTCCCTTTCCCAATTGTTCAACTTGAAGTTCTACCGCCTGAAAAATTTTGTGAAAACGTTTATAAAAAGGGCTATTTTCATAAGTGGTTTTCTTCATTTCATTGAGGGAGTTATCCTTTGCCAGCTCGAGCTTCATGTCCGTATCAATTTCACCAATTTCTTCCAAATCTTCGGCAGATCGTGATAAGCAATCAATAGCTCGTTTGACGTTACAGTCATATTTCGAAGAGATAGTAAAATGATAAACAAAAACTCAATAACATCAGTGAGTTTTTCAAGATTTTCACTGTGTACTACAACACTCATGAGCTCCATGTACAGTTGAAATTGATTTTCGCTCATTTGTTTTTTGCGCAACCATCGAGAAACCATTTTCATAAAATGTGGGTAACACGTGAAACAAGGAATAAGATTCTCCGGTAATGAAGTTTTAAAGTTCAACTGATCGTATGTAATTTTGAGGTACTCTAATATTGATAAATTATTGAATTCTAGCATCACAGCATTGATGCTTGCCCAAGACCAATCAGTAACAAAACCTCCAAAAGGAGGCCATTTAACTTGATTGACTTCTAGATTTTCTTTCATGGCTTTGCAAAATGACATGATTGATATTGCTGTGTAATTGTTAGTTATTAAGCCGAAAATCGGATATATTTTTTTCTCAATTACTTCAAATGCACCATAGTAAAACACTCTTTTGGATGCTGGAAAGGGTTTCCTTATTATCGAGCCAGTAGCGTCAAAATATACAATTGAATTGGGATATTTCTCGATTAAATCAATTTGGCCTTGACTTATCAGATGAATTGTGAAGGGAGCTGTGAAATGTCTAATAAAATGGTGGTTATTATTGTTATCCCTCATTCGATAAATAATATCTAATACATCATCCTGGTGCCGATCATTTTCGCAATTTGCCCCAGACTTGATTTTTTGAAGAACACTGAGGGAAGGGGTAAACAGATGATTCTTTTCTTCTTTAGCAAGAACAGCATTCATCTCATTCATTTTCTCTTCGTATACAGTATGAGGCTTCGCAAACCGCAAAAGTTTACTAGTTTCATTCCTGATATTATTGCGGAAGGGATAACAAAGTGGCTCAGTGTGTTGAACATCCTCAGGGGTTTGGAAAATTTGGAATTTAACGCATGATTTCTCATGACTGCCTATGAACTTGAAATTCTTATAACAAAGAGGTTGTTTGCAGTGAGCGTAATCAACAAATTTCTTATTTTTACGAAACTTGAATCCGGTAAATGTCAATGAGCATCCAATTTTAAATTGTTCTAGTAGCGTCTTTCTTAAATATTGATGGAATTTTTGAGGGACGACTACATTCCTTGTCAAAATTTCTTCGAATTCAATCTTACCCTTAACGTTAAGTTAGTAGCATTTTCTATTGATCCGAGTATCTTCCTCACCACTGGAATCCTCCATTGCAGTATCTACCTCATGTTTTTCATCTTCTGATTCGGTGACTGACAGCTGGCTCAGCTTTTGAGACAATATTTCTTCCTCCTCTTCCAATGGTGATTCACTTCTTGGTTCCCCTTTTTCCTGTGCATTCTCTGTGGCTCCTTTCCCCGCTTTCTTTTCATTTTTTATCATTTCTTCTATTTTTTTCTTTTTCTTGTTTTTCCCATTATTCCCATGCTCCAAGGAATTTATAATTTTTGTTTGGAAATTCCGAATGTTATTTAGGCATAAAAATTTTAAATTTGCTCGAAATTTCATTTTTTTATGCTTTATAATTTTTAAGTAGTCACAAATTTTATTGAAATTTTGACTACTGGTCAGGCCATCTTTGATTTCTCCTTTACCCCCCTGGCAATTCATCATGGGCGGACCATCCGCCCATGTTCTGCCCATCTTCCGCGACTGTTCATTTGAGGGCCAGAAACGATTGGAAATGGTCAGAATAAATGACAATAATTATCCGATTCCGAATTATGAAAAAATATGGT